TCATGGAGTCTCACTCTGTCACCCAGGCTGGAGTGCAGTGGCACGATCTCAGCTCACTGCAACCTCCGCCTCCCGGGTTCAAGCGATTCTCCTGCCTCAGCCTCCTGAGCAGTTGGGACTACAGGAGCACACCACCATGCCCGGCTAATTTTTGTATTTTTAGTAGAGACGGGGTTTCACCATATTGGCCAGGCTGGTCTGGAACTCCTGACCTTGTGATCCACCTGCCTCGGCCTCCCAAAGGGCTGGATTACAGGCATGAGCCACCACACCCAGCTGAAATTTCATTTTTGTGTTTTGTCTTTGCCCCAGTCCACAACTTTAAGGATGTCCCACAGCAAAATGGGGGTGGGGTGAAAAGAAAAAAAAGAGAAAGAGGAGAAGGAAGTAATGGATTGGGTATTAAGTGTGAGGTATTTTCAGGAGTTCCTAAGGTTCCTTACAAGACTCAAATATAACTGAGACAATTCATAGAGAGTGATACACTTTAACAGCACGAAAGAAACTTATTGAGGGTAAGAAAATTCAAAGGCCAGGTGCACTGGCTCTTGCCTGTAATTCCAGTACTTTAGGAGGCCAAGGTGGGAGGATTGCTTGAGCCCAGGAGTTTAAGACCAGCCTGGGCAAGATAGTGAGATCTTGTCTCTACAAAAAAAAAATTTTTTTAATTAGTTGGGTATGGTGGCGCATGCCTGTGGTCCTAGCTACTCGAGAGGCTGAGGTGGGAGAGTCACTTGAACCTGAGTGGTCAAGACTGCAGTGAGCTATGATCATGCCACTGCACTCCAGCCTGAGCCACAGAGCAAGACCCCATCTCAAAACAAACAAACAAAATGTAATTCCAAGCAGAACCTTAGATCTGGTTGCTGCAGCTTCTCACTAAACTGTCTTCATTTTCATGAAATGTAGATTTCACATTCATGAGCCCTTCCAGCCCAAGGTGTCGGTGGCGAGGCATACATTATTGGACTGCACTAGTATTTTACAAGATGTCACCTCAAATGAGCAGCTCATGTCTGAGTCTTGGGATCTGTGGGGCCATGGCTTCAAATTCAGAACCACACCTGAACGTTTTCAAGTGGCAGGGCCACTGGGACCAGCCCAGCAGGAGGGAGATGGAGAAAACCAAGGGGTGTGGCACTGCTCCCAGCTGCAGCAACAAGGCCTCCAGACTGAAACCACTCCTTCTAGAACCTCCTGGTCTGGAAAGACTGGTTAGCTGAGAGTGAAGACACACTCCCCAAGTCTCACACCCAAGCCCTCCTTTGCTCCACCCTGAGAAGTCAGCATGAGGCATCAGGGGCATCAGCAGTTTTCCCCTTTCCAAGACATTTCCATTACCTGAACAATGAAATTATGCCCATATTTAGAGAAAAAAATGACTGTTGAAAGCTGTATTGTTCCATTAAATAGATCTGACTAACAATTAGTTGGCTTAATGCAGAATCAACTTGAGTTTCTCTTTTCCTAAGCCGATAGAAACTCTACAGGAGTATTAATGAAAGAATACAATGATTATGAAATATTTCACAGGAATGCAGGCTGAGGAATTCAACAGATTCAAAATAAGCAATAACTCAGATCGAAAAGGGTTTACAAGTAGAAAAGGTGAATTCTCACACTGCAGGTTTAATCTTCTCTTGGGTCCTTGCGGTATACTGGATTCAAATCTAGCTTAACCACTTAACCAGCTGTGTGACCTTAGGCAAGTCATTTAAATATTTTAACCTCAGTTTCCCATCTGTAAACTGGGAAGTTTGTTATGAGGCTTGAGATAACAAACGTACTATACCAGGCACATCACCGTGTGTTTGCCGGGTAATGGTAACTATTATTAACCACAGACCTGATATTTTTATAAAATATACAAGTTAAATTTCATAATCATGTAAATGTTACCTGCCATATACTCAGCTAAACTAGATCTTGCTTTGCAATCGTTTCCCAGAAAAGTGTTTAGACTATCTACGCTCTGAGTCACTCGAGCTCTGCGCCTGTTTTCTCAGACTCTCCCTTGCCTGTCGCATCCAATTCTTAGCTGAAGCTGTCACTCCACCTTGGCAATACCTACTTTCCCATCCACCGCCCTCACCCTGGTTCAGACTTTCATTCCCTCCCTCCTTCACTGGTGCAATGGCTTCCTTAAGCCAATGCCTAAGCAGTCCAGAAGCTCAGTTATGATCGTCTAACTTCCCTGCTCCTCCCATGGAAGAGACTTTCAATGGCTTCAGTGAAAACCTGCACCAGCTTCCCTCTGCCTATCCAAATCCCTCTCCAGGGCATTCAAGGTCTGGAATGCCTTGGTCAAAGAGGATGCTTCCTCCTTTCACCTGACTGCCTCCCTGCTCAGAGCGAATGCTCAAAAAGGAGATCACTCCACAGGCTTTGCAGACTTTTCTCAAGCTCTTCTCTCCCCCGGAAGGCTCTCTGCCCACCCATCTTGACACAGCTGAAATCCTCCAAAGTCCAGTTCGACATCACTTCCCTTATAAAGTCTTCCCAGTGCCCCCACGACAGATGTTCTCTCACCTCCTTGTGACGTCTCTGAAGTCATGTACACCGCTCCTGGGCATTCCGCTTTTGTGTGCTAGTCTTCGTGTACTTATCCTTGGAAGGGCCTACGCTCCTTTCAAGACTATAGATTTCCACCTCGATCTCCCCTGACACAACACAGAATGCAGCCGATGCTCAGTAAACACTTGCTGAATGAAGGACTTAATGGAATGTGAGATACTTTCATGGTGTAATTACAGGCCTGTCCATTCTAAAAGTCAGGCTGTGAAGGCACAGGGAAAACCAAGGTGAGGATCCTTGGGTCCTCAGGCCAACCCAGCCATAAGTGGATTCTGGGATCTTGGGCACATCCTCAGCTTCCTGTCTCTAAAGTGTGCATGTGGGGTTTCTGCCTAGGCTAAGTGATCCTTAGGGGCCCCCTGCTCTAAAATTCAGGCAAATGGACCTGTTTGTCTCATGGTAAGAAATAAGCTTCTCTTAAAACCTAATTTAAGACTAACTTTAAAATGTTTATGAAATAATGATCACATGTATCTCAGTTTTGAAATCATGAGATCTGAAGAAAAATAAGCATTAATATTATAACCACATATTTCTGAAGCTTAATGACTATTTTCTGCTTTTAATCCTCCCACAAATCCACCCTTTGATGGGTGAAAGATCTAACTGTGAGGCTTTGTTACTTTGATAACAAATTTCACTACAGATTTGTAATTTGTTTTAATGACAGGAATAAGACTAGAGTAATTCTGCTGTAATTGAAAACAATATTAATATAACATCCTATCCAAGAAGAATCCAAAATTTACATTTCAAGACATGTACATGTCTATTATTTCATTATCAAGGTTGTAACATTTACCAAATGTTAACAAAATTAAGTAGCCGCAGATTCAATTCAATCTAAAATAAAGACACAAAGAACAGGCAGGTGGTAGGGGAAAAAAAGGGGATTATGATACAGTGAGATCTAATACTGTCCTAAAAATGGGTAAGTGCTGTTCGTGGAAAGGACAGAGAGAGGGAGAGAGCTGTTTTAAAGTCATTTTCAAAGGAAAACTAATAGTTGGGCCCTCTACACATTCAAATTACTTTATTTAGGGAAGGGCTAAATACAAAACACTCAGCTCGAAAATCACCAATCTATTAATAATTCAGCCATAAATAGCAGTTTTTGAAATAAATGAGTTTAAAGTCAACCAATAGTTTTTATACTAGTTTTGGAGCTTAAAAAAAAAGGAAGAAAGAAAAGAAGAAAACCACAAAAACCTTTATTTAGAAAATCTTCGGGTCAGAAAAATACTTATGAAATTCTTAATCATCATTCACTTAGCAGAGGGCAGTGGCTCCCTTGGGCATAGAGGGCACCCTGCTTCTACAAAGTGCATGGCACGGCCAAACATATCCCTCCACACAAAACCAGAATGCCACCAGAAAAACTGCGACATGCCCTGTCTTCAGCCAGTCGCTATTATTTGAAAACGCAGCAGTCAGCATTTGTGGGCGATTTTGTAGTCAGTAGCACCATTGCAGGCTGGGACAGGCTAGGGAGGAAACTCCATTGCCAGGATCCCCAGAAAGAATGACCGCCTCCCAACTCAAGCCCTGAGCCTGACGCCCTGCTGCCAGGCAGAGCAACATTAATGAGGAGAGAAAACATCCTTCCTCAAAGTCAGGTAATTTTTCACTTGGGTCTCTTTCCCCTTCCCAGAGATGGGAGACTTGGTAAGTTTTATAAGTAGGCTTTAAGTTGGAAAAACAGAACACAAGAAATGATACTACACGATGAAAAAACATGGAGCCTGCCCAAAATTAAATGTTTCAGTGAGGAATCCTAACAAAACATGTATCTTGATGCAGTTCATTAACCAATTAATTTATTAAAGTTTTACTTCTCTACAAAAGGTATAAGAAACCAAGGGAGTGAAATATTCTATTAATAATACTGATTATTGTCTATTTAAAAGATAAGAAATCCAGGCTAGCAAAAGCATAGTTACAAATAATAATCAAAATAAATACTTGGTTCATAAAAATGCCAAAAAGAGCTGCTAAAGAATCCTTCACATTCCATTCTGACTTGGATTTAAACTATGTGTAACCCGCACATTTAAAGGTAGAAGTGCGTCTCAAATCCTGGAGGACTGCGAGAGAAAATTTAAATTTCAGATTTAAATGGCTGGCAAAATTTAAAAACAAATGTAATGAAAACCCAACTTTTCATTCCTCCTATTGCTTGGCACATTTTCCCTGGAAATCCCCAGACACATTTTGTTCAGGAAACAAAGAACTCCCAAGATTGAGACAATTCTTTGCTAACTCAAAAAAAAAAAAAAAAAAAAAAAAAAAAAAAAAACAGGTGAAATAGATTTTCAGGATGCTCCAGAAATAAATGAATCCAAGCAGCAAACAGGTTGCAACTCGAGTAGTCCCTGCCTTCAAAACTGCTTGCAAAACAAAACTGCCCTGGAGCGCATTCAGGTTGCTCCTCCCAGGCCTAGGGCCACAACGCCTGGTAAATAACGTCCGACGCTCAGCCTCTTTCCCAAAAGCCCAATGTGGGAAGAACTAGCAGGGGGCGGGGAGCTGCAAAACGCGCACCGCTCACGTGGGCATCTAGAGTCCAGCTCCCGAGACCTGGGACAGGGTCTCTCCCCACCCACCCAAACGACGCCCTCGGTCTGTTTCCGCGAGGATCCGGAGAAGCTGACCCTCTCAGCGGGGGGTCTTCCCGGGGCACCTGGGCCAGGGCGGGCCCCCAGCGTCGTCCTCCCCCCCACACTCCCCTGCCCACACATTCTGGATCAAAGCAGACGCGCGGCTGGCGCTCTGCGATCCAAGGCACACTGGGGTCTTTCATCCGGTGTTTTTAAAAAGGAGGAAACAAAAGGCTCAGAGGCAGGGCCACAGGTGCGCTCGCCCGCGGGGCTGCGGCGCGGACGACCGAGGGGAACAGGCAAGTCCCCGCCGAACTTCGAGCGCCGGGCCCGGCAGCCACCCCGGCGGGCAAGTTTCGTTTGCGGGACAGGGGAAGCCGAAGCGGGGCCTCCTCGGGACAGGATCCCGCGCCGCCCGGACGTGCAGCCTTCATACAAACGTCCTCGGGTGGCCGAGGAGTCCAAGAACCGCCGCAGTTGTGGTCTCGGGGTTACCGGAGATTGGGGGTGAGCGGAGCCCCGAGCACCACTCGGCCACCAGATAGTGCCGGGGCCCCGCTCCTTTCCTCTTTTACATTGATTACGGTTGGAGAGGTTGGGTTTTGTGGTCGCAGGCCCACCTCCCCTGACCTCCCATTCGCGGGCTGGGACAAAGGCGACTGCAGCCGAGTTCGGCAGGCAGAGGACAGCCCCGCGCTGGCCCGACGCCCCCTCTGACCACCCGCCCGGGCTCGCGGGAGGGGAGAAAGGTAGGACCGAGTCCCCGCTCGCAGGACAGGGCCAACCTGTCCCTGCACGCGTCAGGACACCCGGGTCCTGCTCCCAGCGCGGCCGGGAAGCTCTTTCGGGACCCGGGGCAAAAAACCTTTCCACCTTCGGGACTCGAGTCTCCCCGTCGCCCAGAGGAGGAAGCTCCCTCCTCGTCCCGCGCGCCCCGCAGCCCGCGCTCTCCGGGCAGGTACCCACCAGTAGCCGTCCGAGTTCTGGTCGGTGATCACGCCGCGCCGCGAGTAGTAGATCCTGCTGGTGCCCCCGCCGCCGCTGGTCATCTCGTAGCGCAGGTCCGGGCCAGATTCGGCGCGGGTCATGCGGCCCAGAGTGTTGATCCGCGGGTGGGAGCCTCCGTTGCAGCTCATGTCGGCGGGCAATTGGGAGAGCGGCTCAGCGCCGAGGCATAAGCGAGGCGGGCCGGCGCGGAGAAGGCAGAGGGGGCAAAGGACAGGCGGACGGCCGGGGAACCGGGCGGGAGTGCGGGGGGCTCGCGAGGTCGCCGCTCGCTACCTGGGCCCTCCCGAGGCCGCTGCGAGCGCGGAGACGGCGACGGGCCGGGGGCAGGAGCGGGAGGAAGAGCTGTGGCTCGAAGGGCTGCAAGGGCGCAGAGGAGCTGCGTCGGGGCTGGGTGTTGGTGTTGGTCGGCGGCGGCGCGAGTCTCCTCCCCGCTGGCACCGGGCGCCGAGGCCACACCTGGCCGGTTTCTTCCCAGGGCGGGGTGCGGCCGCCGCGCCTTCCCCGCCCCCCCGCGGGTGTCACCGACGCGCTCCGACCGCCCCTCCCCACCTGCGCCCGCCGCCCGCGGCTCCGCCCTGCGCCACTGAGGCCTGAGTAACGCCGGGCGGGGCGGGGTCCCCGCGACCCGAGCGCCCTGGGCGCGGCCACCGCGAGGAGGACTTGCGCTTGCGGGGGCCGCTGCGCTCTGCGCTGGGGCCGCTCGGGCGGGGAATGCTTGGCTCGGCTTTTGAGGATTTCCTTGGTCCCCGGGCGCAGATGGCTGGAATGGAGGGGCCTCTCGATTGGAGAGTTACTGGTCAAATATTTACTTTTGTTCATCACTGGAAACGCTACCTACCACGCATTGACTAGAACCACAGTGAGGAGGGAACGTTTTAGATGATAGAGTTTTGTTTGGGGGCTTGTTCTGTTTTGTTTTATTCCAGGAATTCAGGAAATTGCCTCAGAAGTCCGATTTCTGATGCGTAAAACCTTTTTTTACAGAAAACCACGACTTCCTGGAAAAGTCTTCCCCGTAAATATTAATCTCTTTGGCATAAAGAGGAAAACACTACAGCTATCTTTTCATGGGATAACATAAAAATATAGGTTCCAATTTATTTTATCTTTTCCCTTTTGATGCTCTTTTTAAACGAGGAGTAAAGATTTCAACTCCAGGTCCAGTTTCCAGATTTTGTACCAGAACCTTGCGGATGCTTGTCTCTCGCGCCCTTCTCCGCAGACCCAACCCTCTCCGGAACTCAGAGCTGTTCACCCAAGTCAGCGGCGGAGGCCTCCTGGGACTTGAGCCTGAGGGTGGCAAAGAACCCTAGACAGAGATCAGCTTGGTACCGATGAGTGACGCGGAGCTTGAACATTCCAGGGACTTGCTCCAGAGCCACTCCCAGTTAAGAGACTGAGTGTTATCTACACCGTAGGCTCCACGAACCGAACCGGGTTTGGATACAGACACAGCCACACCATCCATGAAAAGCTGTTTCTATAATATGGAAAACTGTTAAATGACGCTTTAGTAAAAGCCCATTTAAAGATCTTTCTAATAAATTTTTCATCTTTCCAAACAATGCCGCTAATTACCTTCTGATAAAATGCGTTTCCAAAATGTTTATGAACTGGAAACAAAAATAAAAAACTACATTTTCATGTTGTAAAGAGAGTGGGGGGGACTTTCTAAAATGTGTCATATTATACCATTTCTCATGACACCTTGACCCTTTAAGGCATAATTTTTGACAAAATGTCTTGTTCTTTTTCTTTTTACAGCTGAACGTCTTAAATTCAAGGAGTAAACACATATAATGAGATGAAAGTTTATCACTGTTAGCACAACCAATAATTTGCATCGTAGTCTCAATTTCCTCGAATCTTTAATAAAAGCAAAGTGGGCAAGTGTTTAAATGATTATGCAGATTGAGTACCCCTTATCCAAAATGCTTGGGACCAGAAATATTTTGGATTCTGGATTTTCTCGGATTTTTGGTATATTTGCATAGACGTAATGAAAGATCTTTGGGGATGGAACTCAAGCCTAAAAAGGAAAGTTATTAATGTTTTCTATATACCTTATACACATAGCCTGAAAGGAATTTTATACAATATTTTAGATCATTTTGTACATGAAACAAAGTTTTGTCTGCATTTTGACTACAAGGCATCACATGAGGTCAGGTGTGGAATTCACCACTTGTGGTCATCATGTCAGTGCTCAGAAAGTTTGGATTTGGGAGCATTTTGGATTTCAGATTTTCAGATTAGGGATGCTCAACCTGTACAAACACTGATGTATAGACAAGACAGTGGTTTTTCTCAAACAGAATCAATGGCTGGAAGTCAGCCTCTGCACAAACAGCCCATGATATCCATTGGTGGAGGAGAGAAGTACATGCATGGAGGGAAGTGCATAAGGTACAAAATTTCATTTAGGATGCTTTCCCTCTGTGCATCTCATTTGTTCAGCAAATAATTATAACCTAGGATATGGAAATACTCTACAACATACAAAGATAAATAGGGTCCAGTCACTGCCCTTAAACATGTTATAGTAAAACTTTGATTTAAGAAATTCAGGGGGCCGGGCGCGGTGGCTCAAGCCTGTAATCCCAGCACTTTGGGAGGCCGAGGCGGGTGGATCACGAGGTCAGGAGATCGAGACCATCCTGGCTAACATGGTGAAACCCTGTCTCTACTAAAAATACAAAAAACTAGCCGGGCGTGGTGGCGGCGCCTGTAGTCCCAGCTACTCGGAGGCTGAGGCGGGAGAATGGCGGGAACCCGGGAGGCGGAGCTTGCAGTGAGCCGAGATCGCACCACTGCACTCCAGCCTGGGTGACAGAGTGAGACTCCGTCTCAAAAAAAAAAAAAAAAAGAAATTCAGGGGCCCATGCGGTGGCTCACACCTGTAATCCCAGCACTTTGGGAGGCCGAGGCGGGCAGATCACCTGAGGTCAGGAGTTCGAGACCAGCCTGGCCAACATGATGAAACCCCATCTCTACTAAAAATACAAAAATTAGCTGGATGTGGCGGCAGGCGCCTGTAATCCTAGCTACTTGGGAGGCTGAGACACGAGTATCGCTTGAATCCGGGAGGTAGAGATTGTATTGAGCAGAGATCGTGTCATTGTACTCCAGCCCAGGTGACAGATCAAGACTCCATCTCAAAAAAAAAAAAAAAAAGTAGTTTAATATGTCATAAAGTATCAATTACATACTCAAGGCAAAAAATAATAAAAAAGGAAGGATAATTTCATAACTTCTACACTTTGTAAAATTATTTTATTTGTTTCATGACTGCTTGAAAACCTGAAAATTTAATACTTGTTTTTGTTTCTTCCAACAAAAATACGTTTGCTTTATTCAATGCGTACACTTTTTTTTGGCACTACTTGGTACAGATCTTGATTATTAATGCCATACAACTTTATATCATTTGTTTATGGGAGACAAGCAATATGCATAGTTTTGCTAAAAGTGTAAATTATCTTTGAAACAATAAAATATATGTAAGTAAAAAAAAAAAAAATCCGGGATTATTCTTCTCTAATGTGTAATAAAAAGGCCACACAATTGCATGGTAGAATTATCCTTTAAAAAAAAATCTATAAACCACCCCCCCGTGGTAACAAAAGCTCTTCTTAGCCAAGGGGCCCCTTTGGGTCATAGGAACCAGGATCCACACAGACCCAAACACCACCCAGACTCATAAAACTGTTCAATTTGCAGGCAAAACAGAGGAGGAGGTGAAGAGCCCACATCACCAATCACACCTCTGGCTGCGTTGCTTCCTCGCCCATCTTACTGCTTCCTGGGCTTCTCCAGGCATCCCGAAGAACACGAATGACTTCCAGCTACCAAACTTGCCTGCTCTCATTTATCTTTCTCTAAGGGTGATAAAGAAAGATAAGAGGATAAAATAAATAGATTGACATGCCCGACAGATGGAAACCCCCCACCTCAACACACACACATGCACATGCACGCACACACATCAGTTATATAGGCTGGCTCATCACACAATGAAGAGCTAGGGTAACTTGCCCATAGTTTTCATCTTAGTGCTACAATTTACTTGGACAAGAGCTCAATTTCTTCATGCGTTATAATGGAAATAACACTTGTTCTGCCAACCTTCCAAATCCACAGTGAGGTCAAATGAGATAAAATACTTGCACATTCTTGAACACTGTGAAACATATAAAGCTCCATAAGGTACTATCTGTTAAGCCAAAAGTTCTTTGCTGGATGTGAAATTTTAACTGTTAATGTTCCTGTCTTTATCCCATGTGTAAATCAGTAAACCTCCCTCTTGGAGACATTTAACATGCATTCATTGAAAAAGCAGCTATTGAACATCTACGACGTTACACAACAGATTCAATGCTAGACACGTGAAGATGAATAAGGCATGACTCCTTTTCTGCAGGATATCAAAGTCTGCAGTAGTAAAACAAATAACTACAACACAACATTAAGTATGCGGTAATGAAGGTACATTTATAGACTCTTGGAAGCACAGCAAAGAGGTTTAAAAGTAGCTTGTTTTCCTACAACTTGTTTAAAAAATCAGAATTCAAAGTCTGGCAGAGTCTTCCCTGGCTGACCTAAGGTCAGCTATTTTTTGCCTGCCACTCATAGATAGCTCCCCTTGTGCTGATAGAAACAGATCCCTGACAGGCAACTTTCTCTCCGGCTGACCTTAGAAATGACCTTGCAGTTAGGAAAGAGGAATCAGTCATATTCAGAGCAGATTTTTAAAAGAAAACAGGCCCTTTGATTTCAGTGAGATTAAGAAGAATCGTTTACTTGCTCAAAATCCCATGGGAACTCTCTATACCTTTGTGTTAGTAAATGATATCTCTTTGGCACAAGAAGATTTATAGCCCATGAGTTACAATAACTGTTCTGCCTTACAGAGGAGTAGTTTTGGGGTTTTTATTTTGTTTTGTTTTGTTTTGTTTGAGACAGTCTCACTCTGTCACCCAGGCTGGAGTGCAGTGACATGATCTTGGCTCGCTACAACCTCTGCCTTCTGAGCTCAAGTGATCCTCCTGCCTCAGCCTCCCCAGTAGCTGAGACTATAGGTGCACACCACCACACTGGACTAATTTTTGTATTTTTTGTAGATACAGGGTTTCACCATGTTGCCCAAGCTGGTCTGGAACTCCTGGGCCGAGCAATCCACCAACCTTGGCCTCCCAAAGTGCTGGGATTACAGGCATGAGCCACAGTGTCCAGCCAAGGAGTAGTATTTTAATAAAAACTAGATAATTAATAAATCAAAATTACAGGTAGAAGCTAGGATTGGAACCATAATGTGAAGGAAAAGAAAATGCCTATTAAAATGGCAGACAAAATCTTAATAATAAAATGTATATGTATATTTTACTCCTTCTTTTCTCTTCCATTTGTCTGGATAAATTAGAATCCTCCAGAAATAATGAATCTAGGATCTGAATTATCACAAAAATAAGATTAATCTCTCCTAATTAAAATTGTTGAAATGATTTAAAGCTGTCATTGAAGAAAGCTGTTTGACAAAGCCCATTTCAAAAATAGGAAAATGTTTGTAAAATATGTACACCAACCCCAAACTATCTTTGGTTTACTTGGTTTAAGTGTCCTTCAGGAACGGGGGAGTTTCTCTGTTTGCAGTGATTTTTTGTTTTTGCTGGGGGAAGGTACTTAACTTTGTGGAAATTTAAATAGAGCAGGAGCTGAGGGAAATCATCTTTAGTTTCAACTGACTCTTATCTAGGGTCCAAAAAAGTTTGGGGATTTTTTGGTTTGTTTTGTTTTTGTTAGTTTTGTTTTGTTTTGTTTTGTTTTTTGTCAGAAGCTTGGTAAGATCACAGATCACAGGGAAGAAACCCTATTCAAACTCCTCACCTTATCCTACACCGGCCAAGAAAAGTCAGGCCATGAGAAAGAACCTGCATTACTTGCCAAGGCCCAAGTCTGTAAAGGGAAATCCCAGATTGGAGCTGAGAGCTCACTCAGCAAATCAATTAACAGGCTTGTTTAGAAGGATGTACCCAGAGTTAGGATTTTTTTTCCTCCTGCTTATAAAAGTGTATGTATTTGCTGTAAAATACTCAGAAAAGGCAGAAGGGAATGGAGAGAAGCAACGAAAATTACCAACCAGACAAGGTGATCGTGCTAGATATTTTTGGAAGATTCCTTCCAGTTTTTTCCCCTAATGAACTTTTTACCAAACCAACAAATGTCAGGTTATATACAAGTATACAAGTTTCTATTCAGCTTTTTTTTTTTTTTTTTTTTTTTAGACAGAGTATCGCATTGTCACCATGGCTGGAGTGCAGTGGTGTGATCTCGGCTCACTGCAACCTCCGCCTCCCAGGTTCCAGCGATTCTTCTGCCTCAGCCTCCCTGGTGGCTGGGACTATAGGCTCCCGCCACCACTCCCGGCTAATTTTTGTATTTTTAGTAGAGACGGGGTTTCACTATGTTGGCCAGGCTGCTCTCAAACTCCTGACCTCAGGTGGTCCACCTGCCTCAGCCTCCCAAAGTGCTAGGATTACAGGTGTGAGCCACCACACCCAGCCTCACC